TGCAACCTTGAAACCCTGGGTATTTTCCGTTCCCCCCCTCCCGCCCCCCAAATTGCAACCCTTCAAGTTGCGGCTTGTATAATGCAACAGCAACTGTGGTATGAACCTGGCCGGAGTGCCGGGATCATACAGAAAAGGTTGCAATTTGTTTTTTTTGGTGGGGGGGGGGGGAGAGGAGTGTAAGAAAAAAGGATCGCGACCTTGTTCCCCTCCCCCCCTCCTCCTTGTCGCCGTGCGGGCGGCAGTCGCTTGGGCTCAGCCGCCTGCTACCAGGGGCGAGGTCCCGCTACGGTAGCAAAGAGGGATTAGATTGGATGCGTGAATCTGGACTCGTGGGAGAGGTGGTGCAGAAAATCGCGCATTGATCTGCTTTTCTGCATCTCTGCTTAAAACCCAGCCGGATTGGGGCGCTTAATGCAGTCCTTGTTGCTACCGTCTTCCGCCAAGCATGACGCACCCTGATGATGAACGTATACAAGCCAACTTTCCAGTCCGATGCAATCAAAATGAGGGTGCGTTGTGTTCGTGGGGAAGACGGTAGGGGACCGCGCCGCTGATGACTCACTCAGTCGGTGACACTTTTTCGTGACAAAACAGTCTGTCACAGCCACCCCTCTGTCCTTCGGGACATCCGTTAAAATTGAACGATACAGAGAAGGGTAATTACCAAAATGGCCCCTGCGCAAGGATGACACGCATAAATCCACAGCCAACCCTCTCGTTTCTTGCCCCTTTATCTCTTTCTACCCCCGCCGGTTCACCGGCAACTTCTCGATGTCAAAAAAAAAAAAAAAAAAAAAAAAAAAAAATCCTACCCCCGGGTCACCGGGGGCGAGGTCCCACTAGCAAAGAGGATTGTAGTGAACGCCGGAATCTGGACGCGTTTGTGGAAAGGTGGACAAAATCGAGATTGAACTGCGTTTCTGCATTTGTGCTGAAAACACGTCCAGATTCAGGCGTTCCATCCAATACTCGTAGTGGGACCTCGCCCCCAGGCGGTCCGGCTGGTAGCCTAGTTCCAGGCCACGGCTAATGTGATTTTTTTTGCTGCTTTGTTTTTCGCCGCAGGGCACCGCTGATTTGCTCCCCTGAAGCTGACCCTCAAACGGAATGAGATATGGAGGCATCGGCGGTCTGTGTGCGTGCTGGCAGCGCCTGTTGGTCCAGCAGGTCAGCCCCACATCATCATCATCATCATCATCATGAGAATCATGAGAATAAGAATAATAATTATGTCGGCAGTGCTATATCTGCATCCACGTCGGCTTTCCAGAGACAAGTGTCACTTTCTGCCGAGGATAGATTGCCAGTCTGTCTGCTGGAGAAGAGGAAGGGGAGAAAAGATGGCAGGTGTGTGATGATGAGGATGATGAAGATGATGAGAACGAAGATGAAGAAGATGACACCAAACACGACCGACGTCGTCGGATTTGACAGCTACAGAACCAGATCTGTTTTGGCGGGAAGAACTGATTTGAGAGCCAGATCTGTTTTGGCGGGAAAAATTGAGTTGAGATCCAGATCTGTTTTGGCGGGAAGAATTGATTTGAGAGCCAGATCTGTTTTGGCGGGAGAAATTGATTTGAGATCCAGATCTGGTTTGGCGGGAAGAATTGATTTGAGATCCAGATCTGTTTTGGCGGGAAGAATTGATGCGAGATCCAGATCTGTTTTGGCGGGAATGGATTGCCGCGGAGAAGCTGTGCAACAACAAGAAGAAGATCTAATTACTGCAAGTCAGAGTCGAGATCAAAGCGAAAATGGAAATCAGCAGCAGCAGGAGCAGATGGACGATGAGGATAAGTGGGTGGGGGAGGAGGAGGAGGGGGAGGAGGAGAAGGAGGAGGAGGAGGAGGAGGATCTGAGACAGCTCGTGCCGGGAAACAGAGAAGATGGTGTGGCAAATGTGGACCTTGGTCCTGTAGAGGGTCAATCTGCGGCGGATGGGCGACCGATGAAGAGGAGGAGGGGGAGGAGGAGGTGGGTGCTGCGGAGGTCGGGGGGAAAGGTGAGAGAAGTGATGAGGAATCTGGAGGATATGGAGGACATGTCTCAGATGGAGTCGGTTCTGCAAGATTGGACGCGACGGATGAAACCGCGCCGCGCTGAGATGCTTGCAGTTATCGAAGACCTAGACAGGAACCGTCTATCGGAGCACGTGGTGAAGGTGTGTGTCTCGGGTTTCTTCTCGCACCTACCTACTCCTCACTGATAGCTTCTTCCTCCCAATACAACGTTCCCTCATCATAACTGTATTAAACCTGAAAGATGCCTAGTGTGGTACATTCATCATGATTAGGTTGTGTATGATTAGGTTGTGTTGCGTGTGGGGAAAGAAGAGGGTGGGGTGGGGTGGGGTCTTTTCTGTCGACAGACCGAAGACCTCTGATCGTACTCTCATCATCTTGACTGTATTAAACCTGAAAGATGGCTACCTTCTTCCCCCGAATACAACGTACGGTCATTATAGCTGTATTTGGGGTATCTTTCTGTCTAGGTACAGCTATAATGACCGTACGTTGTATTCGGGGGAAGAAGGTAGTGTATTACATTCATCATGATTAGGTTGTGTATGATTAGGTTGTGTTGCGTGTGGGGAAAGACAGGATGGGGTGGGGGCTTTTCTGTCCAAAGACCGAAGACCTCTGATCATAACAGATACTACACTTGATCTTAGCCAAAAGGGCGACGAAACAGTTTGTCACCCCCCCCCCCCTCATTTATTGTCCTCTTCTGAGTCTTCTCCCTCTCTGCTGACGGTTTACCGGGCAGCTCTGTTTGACGATCTATCTATATATAGAAAGAGACCACCTTTCTGCTAGGGGGGGGGGGGGGGGGGGAGGATTATGTTGTAGAGGCCAAGCACCAGACCCACGGTGATCGCTGGCAGCGGCAGCCGATGGTTGTCCTGACAGGGGATAGGTCACCTTCCCTACCCTTCCCCACTTTAATTCTCCCAGCGCACCCCCTATCCCCCCCTATCTTGCCCTCACTGTGGGTCTGGTCCTTGGCGCCCTCGCTGTGACCAGCACTCAGGACCATCACCCTACCAGTAAGTATCGAGGGCAACTTGGACCAGACAGCAGTGACTACCGTCTTCCCCCGAACACAACGCACCCTAATTTTGGCTGTATGGGACCGGAAAGCTGGCTTGTATACATTCATAATCAGGGTGCGTTGTGTTCGGGGGAAGACGGTAGCACCAAGGCTGGGTGGCCCCCCAGCCCTACCATCTTCACCCAAAAATAATGCCCGGGGGCGTTGTATACGGATATAGCGCCCGGTGGACGTTATATTCGATTATAACGCCCGGGCGTTATATTCAGTAAATTGGTGGCAACTTCGATGGGGCCTGAAAATTCAAATTCAATAAAATAAAATAAAAAATTTTGAAAAAAAAAATGTTGTCTAGAATTGCAATGCCACCAACTTTTGGCTGAGAGTCACTTCAGAATTCCTTATAAATTCGGGAAAAAAAAAAAACAAAAAAAAAAAAACAAAGCAAAACATACCCCTTGGAAGTAGGAACCCCTTTCAACCCCATGTATATGCCCTCCCCCCCCCCTTTGAAACCCATGTAATCTCCCTCTACAAGGCACTCTGCCCACGGAACATTCAAATATAACGCCCGGGCGTTCTACTCGAATATAACCGCCGGGCATTATATTCGGAGGGGCGTTCTATTCGGAAAAAAGTGAGTAAAAACAAAAATCTGATTTTTTTAATGAGTAAAAACAAAAATGATAATTGAAAAATCTGATTTTTTTATGAGTAAAAACAAAAATATGATTTTTTTAGAGTAAGTTGAATATAACGCACAGGCGTTATTTTCGGATGAAGACGGAAGTGGAAGCGACAGCGGACGAACCTTGCCGCACACGAACTTCCGACGCCTGGCTCATGCAATTTGTTTTCTTTTTTTTCTTTTTTTTTTATCAGAGAATCTACCCAGCAGGAGTACCTATGGAAGGCAAGCTGGCGCCCATGGACACATCCTACCGTCCCCTTCTCCTAACGTACCGAAGGCTAAGCAGAACTCAGACTAGCCGGAGTGACTTATATTATCCCTACCCTACCCTAGAGTCTAATGGCCTCGCTGCACTACTCTTGAAATGCACAAAAGACAAAAATCATGGCCGTGTATCTTTCCATATTCTAGTGGAAGATTCACTGTCGTTTTGCACGTTTGGAGAGTAGTGCAGCGAGGCCCTAAGCCATGCATGAGCAGACCCCGTTGTTATAGTTGTATGTATACTTGTGCCTGGAATCTATGTATGTATGAGCCTGTAGGCTATGATGTGGCACATTGAGTGCAGACGGCTGGCGCTTCACATTGAGTACCAGATGCTGACGTGTCACATTGAGTACCGATTGACATGGCGTATTGTGTACGGAATGCTGATGTGGCATATTACAGATTGCTGACGTGGCAGAGGTGGGGAACCGAAGGAGAAGAGGTCTTAATAACTGGGTTATACTTCGCCCTCCGACTGTCTAGTCTCCCCTTCTCTCTTTTCTGGATACTGTGGACTTTGAAAGTTTACACGTGGTAATGAGGAAGGAAACATTTTTTATTTTTTATTTTTATTTTTATTTATTTATTTATTTATTTATTTTTCACAACGGCCCAGTGCCCAAGGCTGATACTACCAATAAAAAAGAGTTGAGGCCGGGGTCCTCAGTCTACCCGGAGTAACCAAACTAAGGAAACATGTACTTCAACGACTTTGAACTGATGACCTTATATTGGATTGACTATCTCACGAGATTGCACGACATTGCTGTGTGGCCACATGATTGAATGACGGGACTGGGTTCATTCCATGCTAGAGGGCGTGGTATGAGCATCCCCCCCTATAGCAGCACCCAGTCCCCGGTTGGTCCAATCTATTGGTGGGGAGCATCACCTGCTGGAGACCCGCTCCAGCGTCCCATAGACATCCATGGGCCATTTTTAGGTTCACCGGGAGCTTTCGCAAGTGTCTTCGCTGTAGTCGGTCAGTTCAACGACGATGAACGTATACAAGCCAACTTTCCAGTCCGATGCAGTCAACATGAGGGTGGCGGCCTTTACAGTTGAATAGGCAAGTGCCCCCTCGCGGTAACCGGGGGTCAACGGAAGGGGTTTAAATGCTCACCACCTTGACCAATCTTTGGTCAGTCGATCTGCGATGAACGTATACAAGCCAACTTTCCAGTCCGATGCAGTCAAAATGAGGGTGGCGGCCTTTACAGTTGAATAGGCAAGTGTCCCCTCGCTCTCCACCTTGGCCAATCATTTTTTTCTCAGTCAATCTGATCAGGCCTGATCCGATGGCGCAGTACTTGCTGAGCCGTGGAGCTCATGCGCTCAGTCTGAACATCACTCTGTGGGTGATTACAGTTGAATAGGCAAGTGTCCCCTCGCTCTCCACCTTGGCCAATCATTGGTCTCAGTCAATCTGATCAGGCCTGATCCGATGGCGCAGTACTTGCTGAGCCGTGGAGTTCATGCGCTCAGTCTGAACATCACTCTGTGAGTGATTAGCAGAACTCATTTTGAGTTTAGTCGCGATGAATTTCATCACATCCTCCCACAGCTCTGGTGAAGCCGATGTCCATCTCGCTACCGATTTCGCTTATTAGCGAATTTCATCGCTCCGAAGCTCTCATCGTTCCCGGGACAAGTTTGCAACTTACCTTTTGCTGAAGGCTGTCCTTTCAAACTGCGCCGAACTATTTCGAACAGCAAGCTGCCACTCCAGTGTGGATGGGATGCGCATGGACGGATACCCCATGGGCCTGAGGCCGTGCCTGTTATGTTTTTGCCTTGTTTCTCGAGTATAATTTCATTTCGATACCGAGGACCCTTTCCTTTATACACTTCAGGAGCCTTACAACGTCTGGTTCTGGCAGCAAATTGTGTGACCTTTTGTCGATCGATTGCAGTTGCTGCCCCGGCGCCGCTATCTCGAAATGGATGGAACAAGTAGTCAGTGCCAATGGTACTGCACGATCCCCAACCTCCAAAATCGGATCTTGAATGAGATGCTGACGGTTCTTGAGAGTTTGAAAGGTCCGCTCACACTCCTTGGGTGGGTCTCTTTAAATGGGACATACATTTGTGTGCAAGTGGGTCACTCAGTGGTGTGGCAATTGCGCCTCGACCATCAACCATCTTCTTGTAATCGTTCACCGAATCGCCGTGACAGGGATGACCCCCCCCGCACCCCTCCTCCCTGTCAGTGGCCTTGACCACCCTGCTACAGTCTCAACCTTCTTGGCTTCCGCCGGAATGTTAGACTCGTCGATCTATGGCATGCCAAAGGGGGAACAGCACCTCCACCCTCCACCGTGAGCTCACTCTTCTTGGTGACAGCGTACCCTGCCATCAACAACCAAAGTGACAAAAATGTCCTCGACATGTTTCGTAATCTGGATCACGCTCCCGTTAGCAAACCTCAACCTCCACAGGACTACCGTCTTCAAACGAATAGCACGCCCGGTCATTAGAGCGGTATATGGGGCAACTTTCAGACCAGATGCAGCGACAATGACTGGGCGTTACCCTGCCATCAACAACCAAAGTGACATGAATGTCCTCGACATATTTCGTAATCTGGATCGCGCCCCCGTTAGCAAACCTTGACCTCCGCAGGACTACCGTCTTCACCCGGAATAGCACGCCCGGTCATGACAGCGGTATATGGGGCAACTTTCAGACCAGATGCAGCGATAATGACCGGGCGTTTTATTCGGGTGCAGACGGCAGGGAGGTTTCGCACTGTCATGCCCAGGTGCAGTCTCTCTCCCGATCACCTTCTTGGCCGTAATCCTGGGAAGATTCATGACCATTATCAGTCATTGTCTTCACCACCGTGCGATTGTCAACGGGGTGTTGATCAAGGTTTTTTTTTTTTGTGTGTGTGTTGATCGAGGTGACCTCCTCCTCCTCTTCTTCTTCACAGATGTCGTCAATTGGTTCCTCTGTCTCCATAGTAGCCTTCTTGACTGCGTCGCGCAAACGCATTGTCGTTTGCATACCCTGCTGTACCCTGCTGTTTTCAGCAGTGGAACAGTGCAGGCGAAAGGACCGTGTCGACCACGGCGTGTTTGTCCATTTTTCTGTAAAACACTTCTGGCGCAATATTCTCCCTCTTATTCCTCCCTGCGGGTGCCTGCAGCCTTTGCCAACCAATCAAAGTGCGAGACCTAAGGCCCCAATGGGCCCCTTTTTGACCCTGCAAGCAGCACAGTCGGCCGCCGTAAGTGAAGGCAGGCCCGACCAAGGCCGGAAGGCGTTTTTTCTCGGCCACCCCGCTACTGGGGAAAATTAGCTGCCCAACCTGGGTAGATGGTCCTGCACCATCTACTGCCCCCACTTTTTTTATTGGCCTACGAGCTAAGTGTCGTAGTGGCTGTGTATGTGACACACTGCCGGGCTTCCATCCTGCTTATCCCATACCTCCTTTGTGAATCCTCTTTTTTTTGTTTTTGCGGTTTCGTCCTTGCGCAAGGGCCGTGCAAATCTTCTCTGTAGTGTTCCAATTTTAACGGATGTCTTGAATGACTTTTTTTTTCTTCTTTCTTTCTCGGGCTCTAAGTTGAGACGATGCATCAGACAATTAACCAGAGACGTCCTTTGCAACTCCTGCTCTCTCCCATGGCAGTATCCTATCTCCTTGACCGACCAACGAGTCACAATTCTTTTTTTTTTTTTTTTTTTTTTTATGAGTCACAATTCTTGTCGTGCTGCTTTTCTGCTTGTTCTTCCTGCTGTTACCTTTTCTTTTTTTTTTTTTTTTTTTTTTTTACTTTTTTTTTTTTTTTTTTTTTTTTTTTTTTTTTTTCATCATCTCCTGTGACGGTCTGATTTTTTTTTTCTTTTTTCTTTTTTCTTTTTGATATAATGCTCCAATCTCTTAGTGGGGAGCAGCATGGTCCGGTTCTTGTTCCTGTGCCGATCGGATACCTCTCTCTCTCTCTCTCTCTCACACACACACACACACTCTCTCTCTCTCTCTCACACACACACACACATTCATATATGCCAGCCTACTCATGACTGCAGCATGTGTCGAACTTTGACCTTGGAATGTACTGCCCCTGTGCACTGGTGTAAACCTTCGCGGTCCTTCCCCTGCCTCCTGGTCACTGACATCCCTGCGGGGCAGACAACAACGCCGAGCCTAATTTCAGTGCCTCTTCTGCCATTCTATGGTAGGTGCTCAACTCCTTGGATTGCTGTCGCAGGTGGCGCACAATCTTCTCGGAAGGGCCTGCGTAAAACGCACATGTGATTGGTCTTCCCCCATCCCCAGTTCTGGATTCCGCTAAATTTTATCAAACTTCCGGACCAGATCTTGGTTGGACGCCGCCGCAGTATATCTGCACAGACAACTAGTAGTGGGCGCATGCCCGATCCTGGGTCCGGTGTCCCCACCTCTCCCACTGCTTATGACAAAACTACATCCAACTGCTTTGTGCCCTGTCTACCCCTGAGTGTAACACTTCGCTGCCGGCCCACTCCTTCGCTGTGTCCAGAACGCGAAGTATCTCTTGGCCAAGCCCTTTGTCATCCCATAATCATCGATCTGTCCATTGACAGATCGAGAGCAGTGGTCAATGTCCTCATCTCTCTTGCCATCAAACATGGGCGGCAGGTCCGACTTCAGCTGGGAGGAGGGGACGCTTTGTCTCCTTCTGCTCCAATAATGTAAATCCACTTTGGAGATGGGGGTGGTGTCACTTGCGGTGAACTTGGCCTAGCAAACAATGCCAGCTGTGATGGCATACAGCTTGCTGTCTGATGGACGCCATCTCATTCACAGCTTGGAGCCTACCGTCTCTCACCCGGATAGAATGTTATGGTCATTACAGCTGTGTTTGGGGCGCTCTCAGTCTAGATACACAGTGGTAATGACCATATGTTCTATTTGTCCGAGCGGGGTATGGAAGGATCCCGCGAGCCCATGATGAAATGGGAAAAAAGGGGGGGGGGGCGGAGCAGAAAAAAGGGAAAAAGAAAGGAATCCCTTGGCATACTCTGGGCGTGATTTGGGGGGGAAAGGCTGGTGTGTAGCGATGGCCTCAGCCTAAAAGGGGGGTGACGTGTGCCTGCCAAGTGGCCACCGATTAGCAATGCAAGCGGGAAAAAAAAAAAAAAAAAAAAACAGCTAGCAATGCAAGCAAAACAAAAGGCTGACACTTACCCAAGAGCCTAGTTCAGTGGGTACACCCATGAACTGTTGAAAATACAGACCCGTGTTCGAATCCAGATGATGATGGAACTTGATTGATGAATTAAGTTGTAAAACCAACTATTTCTGAATTGCCTGGGGCCGGTCAGCTTAATGATGATATCTCAAGACCGTCGCCCTTTTTACTAAAAAAAAGAAAAAAGAATAAAAAAAGAAAAAAAGGATGAAACTTGTAAATTGAGAAATGGTCCACATTTTCAAAAGAGGAAAAAGGGATGATGAGATTGGCTGGTCAAGATGATGTGATGACGTCAACGTGAAATCTCTGACATACCACTGTTACCTGTTGACTGCTCTGTGCTGCTGGCAGGCACTAGAGTGGGCAATACGCGAGGAACGGTTCGAAGCAAGCGTACGAGACTACACAAAATTAATGGAAAAATATGGAAAGATGATGCGCTTTTCTGATGCCGAACGCGTGTTCGGGGATATCGAACGTGCAGGCTTGCTGCATGATCCTGTGTCTTTCACTGTCCGGATAACTAATCTTGGGCGCCAAGGACGAGGCGAAGAGGCAGAGGAGTTGGTTGGTGACATGCTATACAGGGGGATGACTCCTGACAAGAAGACATGGACGGCTCTGATAATCGCGCAAGGGCGGTCGAGAAATCCGACGAGAGCTGAGGCAGCACTGAGGGCCATGCTCTCCTCTGGCGAGCGTCCTCATTTGCCAGCGTATACCGCGCTGGTCAACGCCTATGGACGAGCAGTGCGTGCCGATGATGCTCAGCGTATCTTCGATGAACTCCTGCAGCACAGGTTCCGACCCAGCCGAAATGCCTTCACATCTCTGATTGAAGCGTATGGCCGTACCGGCGACGCCGACAAAGCGATTCAAATGTTCGAACAGATGTGGGGTACAGCCGTGAGCGATAGATTGGGTATGGAGATAGGGGAAATCATGGAGGTTGACGAGCATGACGTAGACCTTGTAACTTCAGGAGAGCATTCTGGTGGTAATGTCAGCAAGAAGCGTTCGGGTAGCCAATCCCAACATGTCCCCAGACACATTGGTCGGCGACGGAGGGGCCTCGATTTGATAGATGATGTTGCGATGGCGACAGTCGTGAGAGCTGCTGGGTTGTCCGGAGCCTGGGAGAAGGCGGCGGAGCTCGTGCGATCATTCGAGCGCGCTGACTCGAAAATAAAGATGAAAGAGGCAGCACTTGCACAAGGACCTGAAGGAGTTCAACGGCACGTGAAGCGCCATATGGAGTCCCCAGGGTCTTTGACGTACACARCGTTGATCGACGCATAYRGTCGTGTCGGTCGGTTCGACGACGCCAGACGAGTGTTGGCAGTGATGGAAATGGAGGGGATTCGTTGCGTAGAAAGCACCTACGTGTCCTTGCACAATTCCTATGCCCGTGCCGGGCTTGCGGAAGAGGCAGCCAAAGCAAGGGAAGAAATGGAAGGTCGACGCATACGGCCCACACTGTATGGGTATTTGGAAATGCTGCGAGGCCTTTGCGATGCATCCATGTACTCTGAAGCACTGGATCTTTGGACGAAGATGCATGCTGATGGCTGTGTCCCGACGGACGAGCAGTTGCAAGGGCATGGGTTGACAGGAGATGCAAAGGTCTTGACCCCTGACGAACTCACGCTGTTGCTTGGAGGGGCGAAATCAGCAGAATTGGAATTGCAATCGGAAGAAGGTAGCGCCGGCAGGAAAGCTATGCCTGCCGAGGTTGCAACAATAGAATTAGTCAGGTCAGCTGAATCAGCGAGAGAATGACAAAGGAAGGGGGTCCAAACCAAATGGGAAACAAGCAGGGACAAGGTTGATTGGTGGGACGAAGGCAACCGCGGTAATGATTGTGACAGCTATTGGGAGAATGCAGGAGGACACGGCAGAGAGGTGACGCTGGGGGCATAGCACCAATGGAAGTACGGCAGGTCAGACGAATCGGCGAGAACGGCAAAGTACAGGGAGGGGTACAGGGAACCTTGTCCCTGTTGCGATGACGACGCACGTCGAACCCATCATGGGCTTTGTCATCATCATCATCCTCGCCTTCCGTATCAATATAGACTGGACCATGCGAATCGTCGCGGCCATACCTGTTGGTGCCGAGCGAGGAACCTCAGGGGGCGCTTGCATCGTGACTCGTAGGATCAACACAGGGAACTGGAACAGACCCACATGGCCATCTGCAGAGCAAGAGCAGCTGGGTTGGCTGGCTGCAGGCTGTTCACGTGTCTCGATTGAACACCGGGTACGAACGGTATCTCCAATGGGTTTGATGGTAAAGAGGCGGCGGTGGTGTATTGCACTCACTTGGAGAATGAGGACCCTGACACGCTCGAAGGGTTGAAGGCACTGTCTTTTTGAAGAGGCCCTGATAAACTGACCGAGCAATTTGGATTTTGCGCATCCCTTTAGCCAGATCGGCTGAGCTGGTGAAGAATGAGATCAACAAGGGCCCCATAAACGGACCACGGAAGGGCCCATATATAGAGACCAAAAAGGTCCCACATTGGGACTACCACTGGCCCATATTCAGGCCAACAAAAGCCCCTGATGAGACCAACATGGCTGGGTATCAGGACCAACAAGGGCCAAGTATGAGGACCAACAAGACTGGTTATGGTGACCAACGAACCCTCAGAGGGAACACATAAGCGCCCATACATAGAGTCCGACAAGGTCCCAC